CCCAACCCCCAAAAAAATCTCTTCATTTGTCTGAGCTGTACTGTGCAGACCTAAAAGACTGGCGGGCCAGTGGTTTGCGGGTTGATTCCTGTGTCTATAATGAATCTTGGAATTGCAGGTAAGTTAAATATGGAGGCTTGTTCATTTATCACAAGTCTTACACCATTCTGGCTTTAGTGTCCTTTGGATACTCAAATTACAGAGAGATTTTGCCATTTACTTTAATGGGCAATTGTTCCATAATCTTTTTCACAACAGGCTGGCCTAGGGGTGTAAACCTGGGCCTCGTCAGCCAGCATATCGGGGCTTGGCTCAGGCCTGTCCCTGCACGGGATGTTTATTTTTAGAATTTTCACATGTTCTGGCCTGGCTAAGGCCACATCTAGGATGGCTTATACCTCGTATTGTGCTACACCAAAAGCAAAGTGAATCTGGACAAGTTTCTTTACACCTCTAGCTGGCCTCACATCTTGAAACTTGCATTGTCTGAAGTCTGAACATAAGATAAATATTTAGTACTTACATAGCCTAATTTTCCGTGCTTTTGATATTGGGAATTTCAAGGTTCTAAAAGAACGATTAATAAGAGATTTTCCAGGGGAGTTTTTGGAGGAAATTGATGCTCATACTCACAAGAATGGAAACGACTGTTTAGGCAAGTCTGATAACAAAAATAGAATCATATTGATTCTCGAAATGTCTCTCTCTACATTCCTCAAAGTCCCGTCTATTCAAGCCTTAAAGGACGAATGGATCGAAACCTAAGAAGGAAATAATAGAGACCTAGAGCATACCAAACCATTCCTTCGAAAAATATAAGCTGAATTGCAGCTGGTGCAAGTTTTTGCAACCGGCTGGGGACTTCTTCCAGGAATCCAGTGTCTGCTTTCTGGGTTCCTTTGTACTAGTTTCCGTTGTTTGTTGACGGCCTAGAAAAGCTCGAAATTACGTGAAAATGGAGCCAAAACAAATGGCATGAAAGGGATTTTTGTGTGTGTGTGTGTGTGTGTGTGTGTGTGGGGAATGCATTCAGGGTGAAAGTGAGAAAAAGAGGGATAAAAAGGGAGTTATGAATGAGGAATTGTTCTTGAGGAGCTTAAGATATGGGGTCAGTTACAAAGGCTAGCTGTTAAGAAATCAAAGTGAATAGCAGGATGGAGGCCTCGTTGGAAACAAATTTTTCTCGTCTCAAGCAATGAGAAAATCTTGGGTGTGGTGGTTGTACCATCCCATGTGGTATGCCCACTCTATCATAGAGTAACATGTGTACAATTTTAAATTAATTTTACCAATTATACAGTTTCTAATTAAAAAGTACATTGTGTCTATATCTTTTGGTTTCTCTTTCTCTCTCTTTTTAACTATGTTAATTGTATATTTTTTAGTTAAAGAATACATTGGCTCCATCCTGCTTTTTTCTTTCCCGCTTTTATCTTTCTTTCCCCTTAAAAACTGGACCATCTTCTAAAGAAGCTCTCTCTCTCTCTCTCTCGGATCTTGTTGGAAGCACTTTCTGGGCATTCCACAACCCAGCAAAATTATAGGTACTCTCTCTTTAATTTAACCTTTTTTTTATAGGTACTCTTTAATTTATTAATTTCACTTCTCTAATTTTTTAAGAATTTATATTACATAAATGGGAAAGTGAAATCGTCTTTTATTGTATTTATTTTGTTGATATTAATAAGAGTTGAATGGTTTTTAATATGTCAGTATTTTTAATCATGCTTTCTATTCAATGGAGGATTTAACTAATAGAGAAAAAATGTATGAAGAACTCAATGTGGGAATGGAAGTATGTTCGGATGAAAAAGCTTATAATATACGTAATTCACATGCTCTAAGAAAAGGCTTTAGTATCTTTAAAGCGCATATTTGAAGAGATGCATAAAAAATATTAAACAGCAAGAATTTTTATGTTCGAAGGAAAGGTTCAAAGGGACAAAGAGTTACTTGAAGTGAGGAAATATAATAGATTAGAGACAAGAACATGTTGCAAATTTATGGTGTATTTTACTATTGATGGTACAATAGGAAAATTTCACATATCAATACTCATTATAACCATGAACTTGCTAGACCAGAAGAAAGACAATTTCTCTGAACAGGATGTAGGGTATCTATTGCTCAAGCAAATGTCATTAATTCCATGGTTAATGCCGGTATTGGACCAACAAAATCATACTTTTATTTAGCAAATGAGGTTGGTAGAGCTGAAAACGTTGGATTTACCAAAAAGGATATGAGAAATTATTTGCAAAGAAAAAAAGGGGAATGATTGAAGTGGGAGATGGACAAACTTTGCTAAAACATTATAAGTTAAAGCAAAGTGAGAATCGTAACTTTTTCTACTCAATGCAAGTGGATCAATTTAATCGGATGACAATTTTTTTTTTTGGAGGGATAGTAGGTCAAAGTTAGATTATGATTGCTTTGGTGGTGGTGTATGTTTTGATGCTACATTTCGTACTCCTAATAAATAAAATTTGATATGTGCTCCATTTGTTGGAGTTAACCATCATTGGAAAAATGTTTTATTCGGTTGTGCATTTTTATTAGATGAGACTAGCAAATCATTTGTTTGGTTGTTCGAGTCATTTATGGAGCCCATGGGAAATGGACAACCAAAAACCATTTTTACAGACGAGGACAAAGCAATGGCAAATGCAATTGAAGTAGTTTTTGTTGAATTTATTTGTAATTATGTTAAGAATCGAGAATCACAAAATAGTAAATTAATAAATCGAATTCATACCTATGGAAGCCATCGTTGATATGAATAGTAGCAACTAAATCTTCTCCTCCTTGCTCCTCACAAAGTATTAGTAGTCAATGGGGCAAGTTAATAAAACATATGGAGAAAAGAAGGGACATACCCTTTATATAGGAAATTATTGAGCCGTCCCATTACGACCGAAACTCTAATCAGGATTTATTTTCGGCCCATATACTTAAAATTATCACATCATACTAAATACAGCCCATAAGTGTAAAAATCTCAATTGATCACTTAATAAATTTGGCCCAATCACAAATATCATTATGAGCCATACATCTAATCCATAAAATTTACAATTGAATGTGAGTCCCACATTTGAAATTATTCCGACATTCTCCCACTTAAGCAAACATTTGATTGCTATAACAAAACTTATAACACTCGGGTTAGACTACATAGGTGGCCACAAAAGTATTGTTCCAATGATGACACCTTACGCAACATAAATCCGGTCCAACAAGAATGTTAACAATGAACATGGAAGTCATTACACAAATTAAGCGATGTAAAATCATTCCACAACTACAAATGCCAACATCCTTATCGACGTGGATCTCCATTCTCCAATCAATGTGGTAGTATGTGGTATGAATTTAGCACCAAATGTGAAAAAAAAAATTGTGCTAATTCATATTTATCCTCATAATGTTTCGGATCAAAATGAAGCCACATGTCTCTAAAAGAGTCTCCTCTTATGTCTTTGTCTGTCATATTTCGAGTTCACAATAATATTATAATGAAAAGACATAAATCAAATGCATGCTCAAAATAATTTATGGATACGAGAAAAATATTTTATTATAAAAAAGGGCATGTACTCGAAAACATATGGGCTACCTATGTACCCAACAAAGGGATCAAGCTAAAACATTGTTCTTTTACATAAATAACTCCCACTATTAAAAAATATCAAATTTTTCCACAATGTCCATATTAGCAACATGAGTCTTAAAGACTTTTGGAACAAGTCCTTTAGTTAAAGGATCTGCAATCATTGTTTCTGTATTGATATACTCTATATTCATCTGCCTTTCCTTGACTCTATCTCTAACCAACAAATATTTGATGTCAATATATTTTGATCGACCATAACTTTTATTATTCATTGAAAAGAACACTATTGCGCTATTATCACAATACATGATGATTGGTTTTAAGATGGAATCAATAACTTTTAAACCAGAGATAAAATTTCTTAACCAAACGGTTTGGACTGAAACCCCATAACATGCTACAAATTCAGTTTGCATAATAGAAGATGCCACTAGAATCTATTTAGCACTGTTCCAAAAGATAGCACCACCAGCCAATGTGAAAATATAACCGAGGTTGATTTCAAATCATTTTGACATCCAGCAAAGTCAAAATCTGAGTAGCCTACCACCTTAAGATGATTTGAACACTGTAATGTAAGCATATAACCTTCAGTTTTCTTTAGGTATCTCATAACTTTCTTAACTGCTTTCCAATGCTATTGTCCTGGATTTGAATGAAACCTGATAAGGACACTGACTATCTAGGCTATATCCGGTCTAGTGCAAACTTGAGTATACATCAAACTCCCCACAGCACTAGCATATAGAATCATCTTCATAGATTTCCGTATTAGTTCATTCCTTGGACATTAAGTTTTGTGAAAATTATCTCCTTTTATGATAGATACATCACCATGTCCACAATTCTATATATTGAACCTTTCTAGGACATGTCGTATATAAACTTACTGAGAAAGTTCCAGCAAGCCACGATTTCTATCATGATATATTTCAATGCCAAGCATATAAGAAGTTTCTCCAAAATTTCTCACCTCAAAATTAGCATGCAATATTTTCTTTGTCTCATGAAACAACCCCAAGTTACTGCTAGCAAGCAAAATGTCATCTGCATATAGGACAAAAATTATAAAATTTCTCTCACTGATTTTGAGATAAATGCATTGATCAATTTTATTTTCAACAAAACCAATAGAAGTCACAACCTCGTCAAATTTCAAATACCACTGTCGTGATACTTGCTTAAGGCCATATAAGGATTTATTTAACTTGCATACCAAGTTTTCTTTTCCTT